TCTGTTTTTAAAAACAATGGGAGATTAATAATCTAATTTAGATTTTTTTTCACTCCCCTTTGAGGAAAAATGTCAATTCAAACCTAATGCACAGATGGAGAAAGAAGTAATTGTCATATGGAGCTGACACACATACCTACAACCCAGAGTCAGTGCTGGAATTTTGCTGTGTTCCAGACCCCCCCAGTTGATGTATGACAGATTTCCTGTCCCTGTGTTAGCAAGAGGATTCATAACAGTTTTCAGAAGTTTGAGTGGTTATTTGGGTGTTTGTACCATCTTTTGTCTTTCCTACATAAAATTATTCAGTGATCATTAACAGGAGTTCAAGTGTCACATCACCAAATTACTGACTGCAGACTCTTAGTGAGAAGAAAGAGGAATATTTTTGGCCAGGTAGTTGCATAAATGACAGGGTTTGGTGGGAATTATGAATATAATGATATTTCAGTTATTACAGTGACAAAAGGGCATTTTGAACATCTAGATCCATCCTTCAGGTCTCTTTTTAATTACAGGAGCTAACTTAGAATTGCTGTGCATCTGTCCCTTACATGTAAAATGAAGCTTTTAATTATTTGTTGCTTCCATCACTGTTTGCTCCCAGAGATTTTGTACTGGTTTGATATGACCACAGCAGAGCACACTTCCCTCAGGTCTGCCCAAAAGGAATGGGCTAAAAGCTGCTGCAAGGGTCAGCATCATTGGTGAAAGGCAAAATACTCAGTCAGCACCACTGATAAGTGCCACTCCTTAGTGTGCCACAGCTCTCTGTGTGACTGTGGTAAGCTGAGCAGCTCCTTCAGCCTAAATTTCTGCTCTTTAAAGTGTAAACATTGCATCTTCATCTCACAAGGGTGCTGAGAAGATGTGTTAGCTCAGTGCAACTCTTCAGATCCCTGAAGAAGCTGAAACACTGAATGTTACCACCCGTGTGGGCACAGGCTGTGCAATTGTGAGAACCTCCAGGGAACATTCTCATCTCCCAAGAAACAGGGTTTCATTAAAACAGGGAGGGTTTTGTCCCATGCAAGAGAGAATTTTACCAACATTAACAACCATGGTTCTGATCACAACTCACATTTGGGTGGCTGCAGGCACGGGGTGCTCCAAACCCAACGTGAGTTTACACAAGCAGTAAGCACACAGAACACTTCCATGATTATTTTCAGCCTTCTGTAATTTTTAGAAGAAACAGCAAAGCACAGCATAACTCTAATCTTACCAACATGGTTATCATCTGCAATAAAAATGTCACCTCAGGTATTAGCAGCATTGCTAAATCACTGGCCTGACTTGAAATCTTCCATCTGGAGTTATAAGGACAGTTTATCACAGGAGTGATTTATTGTGTAAACAGATCTTGCTGCTGGCATTTAGGAGAACGTGGCTGCCTGCCACTCAGCCAAATTCTTTTATCACACTTGATTGCAGTTCCCAGCCTTGAATTATTAGTTAATAATATCCAAGCGAAAGCATAATTTATTGTTTGAGTAAACTTTGAAACATAAAAACAGTGTCTTAGCTCCCAAACTTAGTGCTTGCCTTAGGCAAAGCATTTTTCTTTCAGCACAAAATTGTAATAGAACAGGAGTAAGATTTGTAACTAATTCCAGCACTTCCTGCATGTATAACTTACCTATTGGCAGAGCACAATCTCCTGAGCTGTTCTTCCCTCATTTCTGAATTGTGAGACCAACAGCCTTCATAAGCAGAGGTCAATCACACACAGTCAGACACATCCAAACCTCACAATTTAAAAGTAACACATCTGTGGTTTCCTGATAAGGAAATTTGATACCATCCCTTTTTGTCATTTCATCTGTTTTATCAGCAGGGCTGAGGAAACCCACGAGTTTCCCCTTCAGAGGCACTTGTGGCTCATTTAGAGCAGGAAGTTATTTCATTGAAAGGAATAACCTTGTCTGACAACAATTCCTTAGCATTTAGGGCATTATTTACAGCAGTGTCATGATACCAACAGCCAGCAGATGCCAGCACACACACGAGCACCAAAAGTGCCTCTTTCATGCTAAAGGAGGGATGGTGCATGTGAGAAATGAAGCCAAATCCTCAAAATTTTAAGAGTTTAATAAGGGCCAATAAGGAACAGATCAATAAAGCAAAAGTAACAATTCTGGGTGCGTGGCAACAGCCAGAGGCACTCACAATTCTTTAGCAGTCCTTGGTACTGTTGAATTGCTTTACTTCCCCAAATGACTGCACATTTTTGGAGCCCGTTTACCACAACTCTGCCTCAGGTTGCCACAACATTGCAGAAGTCCACAGCTATAGCCTGGGAGGGTCCAGCAGGGAGGAACTCCAGGGTGGTCTTCTGATGCCACTTCAGACTTGGTTTTCTGCTTTTATGGCATTTTGTTCTCTGCCTGGGCTGTCTTGGTTATACTTATGTCTTGTGAAGGCTGACCTAGATCAGGGGCTGGACAGAATTACAGAATAAAGCAGGGATTTATTCAAAGGATCTCCTCCATGGGTTCACCTTGGGCAGCACCAGAGCCCAGCCAGGGCTGCACCCAAATGACCCAAAATGGCACAAAATGAACTCAAATGAACCAAAATGGTCCCAAAATGCACGAGCGCTCCCGGGGGCTCTCCCTGGGATCAGTTCTGCTCCATTGGCACCTTGGAGTTCATTGTCCCATTCCAGCTCCAGCCCATCAGTCCCACCCTGCTTGTTTTTCTCTCTCCAGCCCACGGTGTTTGTGCTCCTGGGCTGAGGTTTGGATCATTTGTCCTTGGTGCCCAGCTGGAGCAGGAATTGTTTTGTCTCCATGCTCTGTGCAGAGAGCACAGCATCCCCTAAAATGAAGCTCAGAACTACACACTAAGGCAGAACAGAATGTGAAAAATATAAATGCTAAAACCTGAGGTTTACATATGGTCCTTCTTTTCTGAAATTGTCATTGCTCCTGCCAAAAGCCTTTGCAGCACCATAGTCACAGCCTTCTGACATTAACTGAGTGATGGAGATCACTTGTCACAAATCTCTTCCAGAGCAGAAAACATTGGCCCCAGAGTGTTCAAAAAATCATCAGGCAAGTCCACACTGCCAATGGAGATGGAGCAGGGGGAGTTTCTGGGCTCTAACTCTCCTTCCTCAGTGTATCTGCAAGGTTCACAGGTGTCTACATAATCCTCCAGAAATACACTTTCTAAAGAAGGGAAGAAACAATGCACAAAGTCAGCACAAAAGCTGACTTTGAAAGAAAGTCAGCACAAAAGCTCTTACTGCCCTTTTGAAAATTAAAGGAAACTATGGCATGCAAATTAGGCAGGAATTTTTACAGAGAAGAACATGAGTCTTTGGCAAGGAAGAGTTCTACAGAAAGACTCAGCTGCAGAAGTTCCAGAGTCTGAACTTTCCCCAAAGTTTAAATGGGGCAGGAAAGGGCATTTGAGCTGTCCTGGACCAGAGGGATGGCAAGTGACCTTTACTGGTAGGGCAGTCAGACCAAGTAGGGCAAAGAACAGGACTATAAACATGCAAGGTCAGACAGGGCAAGGCAAGAGGAATTTGAATTTCCCTGACAGCACAGAAGTGCAAGAGCAGGTGACAAAACTTTAACCCTGCTCAGGCACAGAAAGCATTTTAGCCTCACTTCTCCAACCTGAAGGACAATTCAGTCAATGAAAAAAGGTATTTTCAACGAAGTCTTGAATGCTTTCCCATCAAATATATCCCTTGCTTTCAACTGCAGTGCTTCTGAGATGTGGGCTCAGAGCAGCTGGAGCCAGGGCAGCTGTCCAGCTTTGCAAGCCCTTTCTCCTGTGCTTACAAAACCTGACACAGGAGGAGTTCAATGCTCATTCCTTACCCGAGCCACTGTTCTGTCCACTGGCTGCATGAAGCAATCCAGGTGTCTTTGTTGGGATGTCTCGTAACCAGTGAAACAGCCATTCTGCAAGACAGCCACACTATCTCAGGTGTGACCAGCATAAAGCCACCTTCTGACATTCCTTTCACTTACAAAGAACTCCAGTTATCTTTCCCTCTCTTATTTATTTTGTGCTGCCTTCTCCAGTTACTCAAACAGGTAACATTATTATTTTCTAATTGAATGATATTGAATTATTCTTCCCACTGTTTTTAACACCTGTTATCCCTAATTCTCGGGATAGCACTGAAGAATTACTTGAGTAATTACTTTGGTTAAAAAAAAAGGACATTTTCATCAAGAACCAGGCAGTTACCTCAGCAATCACTTCTTTCCCAGCCTCCACAGGTGTTGGAAGAGCACTGTGTGTAATATCCAGCCCAGCCTGCACACAGGGAGAGGGCTGGTGTTAATTAGGAACTGAACAAAGTGTGAAGGATGACACCTCCGCAGATTATTCTGCTTTCCAATCACATTTACTCCTTTGTTGCACACACCAGGACAGGAGATGCTGTGCTTCCTGCCTTGTCAGACTCACCAGAAGGGTGAGGCACCTGGAAAGGTCCTGCTGGTTCAGAAAAGGGGCAGGAATGTCTGTCACCAGTGGCGTTTTCCAGCCCATGCAGAGCACAGCTCCCCAGTTTTCGCTTTTGCCAGCCAAAATCCGGTCCCGATTTTTCCTTTTGCCGAGTCCATTCTGGACTCTGGCCAGAATCCAGTCCAGGTTTTCACTTTTTCCTACTCCATACCTGACTCTGGCCAAAATCCAGTCCGGGCTATCCCTTTTGCCGACTCCATTTCATACCCCGGCTGCAATCCGGTCCGGGTTTTGGTTTTTTGCCGAGTCCATTCCGGACCCCGGCTGCAATCCGGTCCGGGTTCTGGCTTTTGCCAGCTCCGGTCCGGTCCAGGGTTCCCGTCACCCTGGATCCCGTGATGGAATTGCCCGAAGATGAAGGGAAATTCCTTTTCCGTCATTTTCTGGCTTCCCCTGGCCTGCAGGAGCCGGGATGTGCCAAGCCCACCAGCACAATACTGGAATTCTCTCCAAGAAAATCCAGTGGTGCCATCTTGAGGAAAAAAAATACAACTCGGCAACAAACAGGGCAGTGCCTCACTTTTATTGTAGCAAATATACGGGAACTTTGAATGACAAGATCACTTTCCCAAGGAATTACTAGCAAAAATATCCACAAAAAGTTCAAATAAATAAGAATACATTAATGCCAACATCAAAAGCTGGTCTGCAAATCCTCAGTTAATCAAGTTCAGTCCTTTCCAGTGTGGTCTGTTTATTTTTCAGATGAAAAACCACTAATGCAATGGGAGCAACAAAGGCTCAATACCTTTAAAATAAGGCAAAAAACAGTGCATTCTAGGCAATTTCACACTGTAGAAATTGTATGTATCAGCTCCAAAAAAGCACATACTGGCTGAAAAAACTGTCAAAATTCTCTCAGAATTCTAACAAGATCCCTTAAACAGTAAATACAGTGTCAAAGTTACCTCAAACAACAACGAATGAAACACAAAAAGGACTCTGACAGTGACAGGATGAGGGCAGATCTCAGAGTCTGGAGTCAAACAGGACAGCTCAGCCCGATGGAATCAGCACAACTCTCCCTGCAGCAATATCCTGCTTTATCCAACTGAAAACGAGGTGGGAAAATCACTGCCCTCAGTATCAGATGCAAGCAATGGAGAAAAAAAAAGGAACATGGCAAGAGAAAAAACAATATTGCTTCAAATGTCCTCATGTGATGCACTAAGAATACATTAGCACTACTAAGGAAAACAGTTTATACATATTGGAGTGAAATTCTGTTTCTTCACATCTTCTAACAGGGTCATTTCACTGGAAATAACTGAGTTGTTCAAAGTTTATACTCATGCAACTGAAGCAGAGTCTGGCTGTTTATTTGAAATACAACCTGAGCATATTTGTTCTGTAGGTAATACTGCAGAACACTAAACCTTTACATTCTCTAGCAAAAAAAAAAAAATAAATCACTCTGTTGAAATATCTCACATCACAGTAATCTGTTCTTCAAGAAGCATCACCAGTGCTAGGCTCAGATCCACATGATCATATTGCTAAACCTTGTAAAAAAAAGGCTAATAAACACACAAAATGGTGCTGTGGAAGTATCTTAAGTAATTAATTTTAAACTGAATGTGAGGGAATAATTTTTTTTCTGCTCAGTTCAGAAGTGCTTCTAAGGACAATATTCAGTAATACAAAATTAAGGAAATATAAACCATAGTGCTCTCCACAAAAGGAGCTCTTTTCTTCTCTAGGCCCAGAACATGGTGAAGTTAAAATGGAAACAGGATAAAACCCAGCCCTTGCAGATCTGCTCAGCCAAGAGCTCTTTGCTGAGGCAAACACAGAATTGCTGTTTCTGTGTATGAACAAAGACAAGCGTGCCAGAAGTATCAAATCAATGACAGAAATTAGACTGGTGTGATTATCACATGGGACAAACCTATGTGGAGCCCAGTGATGAACAAGTTTTCAGACTTCTTTAAAGTGCCATCACTACCTCCATCTGCTTCCCAGTCCGTAAGATGACAAAAACTACATTACAACTTTCCTACCTCTATGACAAAAGACTTTTCCCAGTGCCAATCACCTTTGCTCTGGTCACAGCTGGTTGAAATGGGGCTTATTTTTTCTTAGAGAAGTGAACATGCAACATGTGCCTGTATCTACATGCCCTCCTTACAAGCCAGGAAAGCTTCAATTTAGAAAATTAGCATCCAGCAATATTCAATGCTATAACGTGCTAAACTATTTACTGCATCTAACAGCATTTTTTTTAAACTGTTATTCTGATTATTGCCTGGATCCTGCTCACCTCAGGTTTTGTGCTTGTAACAGTGAACTAGAACAGTGCATTAAAATCCTGATTATTGGCAAAGCAGCTCTCCTATTTTTCAGTACTGTTCATGTGAATCAGGAAAACTTGGCTAAGGCAGGCTTGCAGAATTTGGCCAGAGCTTGAAACACTAGCACTGGGTGCAGGAACCTTTCCTCTAAAGAAGCTGAAATACATGAGGATGGACCAAAACAAAAGGATGAAACAGCAACACTGGGATGTGCTGGTCCTCTGCAGCTGCTGGTGTTCAGTCCCATCCTGAGTTCCTCCACTCCTCTGACACAGCCACCTTCCCTGGTCTCTGAGCATCTCAGATTAAGTTTCACTTGAATTGCATAGAGCAAAATGTACATGCAACTACAATTCATATTAAGTGTAACTTTACAAATACTGATTCTGGACATGTAATACTATTACATTCATTTCCTTTACCAATTCAAAATTTCACATTTGGTCTCCAGTAGACTAGGAAAAAAAACACTAAAAATATTTCTTATACTATTCCTGAGCAACGTTTTTTATGTACTGTAAAATATTCTATTACTACATTTCTTAATAGTTTCACTTTTCAAACTACATATAAATTCATGCTTTGAAATTTTACAAAGCTGAAGATCTGGTAGGCACAATGAAAGATAGAAACAGCTAAGCATCTTAAAATCAAGATGAGCTCACCAAGAGAAGTGCAATTTAGCTATATACATTATGTACTCTTTAGTATTTGCTACTTTTTCATTTTCTATCACCATGTGAAGGATCCTCTTGCAGAATCTGGCCCATCAGACCTCAGCTCACTTCTCATGAAGATTGGAACTGGTGGCTGAGGAGGAAAATACACTGACCAGGATTTCAAAGTGAAAGTAAAAAACATTCTTTAGCATTCACCTTATCAAGATCCTGTCCCCAGCTGCTGTGACTAATTTGAAATTGTAATTGATCAAGTGACACTTGAATATTCTCAGAACTGTCCTTTGTACTCTCCTGTAGCTCACAGACACAAGAGAAGACAGAAGGCCCAAGGACAGGACCCAATCCTGGCTGTACAATTTCTTTCTGCAGGATATTTCCCCATCTCAGCTCCCTAAACCTTAAGAAGCCAAGCTAGACTGGACCACAGGATAAATAAGAGTCATCTCAGGTGACTAAAAATAGGTATCTTCCGTATCAAAATATATCTTTATTTGAACTTACAACACCCTTTAAATTCTTCCCTTAAGAGTCTGGTTTTTATGTTTTGAGAGGCCACCAGTTCGGAAAACTGAGACCATACAGTCTCTGCTAAAAGCCTTAGTTTGCATCACTCAAATATATCCATGTGCAATTTGAAATCTGGTCAATTCCCCTAAATGACAAAAATAATCAAGGCCTACAAAATGAACTTCCAGGAAAGCTGTCTGTAAACACTATATCAACAAAACACAGTGAAGATTCCAGGGTATAAAAATACACATTCAATTTTCTTAATCTGTCATTATTGAAGCTGTCTGGTCCCTAACACTTTGTCTAAAAAAGAATTCTTTCTGCATTAAAATATTTCAAAACATTTTCTCCATTCTTCTTCTTCTCAAAAAAATAATACCTATTTCCTCCAAAAAATCCAATTCATCATCTTCTGTGAAGAATTAGAATTGACTTTGCATAGATAACATGCTCCATTATTTTATAAAAACACCAAAATCAAACCTGTCTTACAAAAAGCACATCTGGGCAAGGAGAAAGAGCATGGACCCTATTCTCTTACCCAGCAGGGTAAGTACAAGGAACACTCAGCTGGTGCACAGGGTTTTCTATATTTCTCTAAACTTCACACTGTGCTCCTGTTATCTTCATTGAGCAATTATAAATATTTTTGAGGAAAGACCAATGGAAGACATTTGCCTCCAGAGAAAATATTTCTGCTGGCTTAAGATCAAATTTATAGAAATGAGCAGTGCTGACTAAAAACCACGTGTCAGGAACATTTTTCTCAGGATCTTCCTATGAAGAAAAAAAAAATTATTCTGCACTGGCCAGATGCTTTCTAGCAGGCAAGAAGCATCAACATTCACTAATGAATTTTCCCTCACTAAAATTTGCGTGGCATTTGCTTTGTGCCGTTTGTTTTTATTTTCCTGTCCACTGTTGGTTTTTTAGGAGGAACGTAGCTGCTGGCATTGCCATTTTTCTTTGGATTTGTACACACGTATGTTTTTAAGCCTTTGATGGGAGCAGCTGCACCATTGAACGCTGGGGTTTGCTTAGGGGGTCTGATGTTACCAACACTTTGGATTTTAGAGCTGCTCTCGGGGGGCTGCAGACTGAGAAGATGCTCCTTTGCAGCTGGTTTCTTTTTCAGTTCACTCCTTCCATCACCAGTTTGCCTCTGAGAAGAGGCTGCACACCCCATCCTCTCAGGAACTTTCAGGTGACCTGCATGGGAACGCACCTGGCGAGCCTGCTCAGGGCACAGCTCTGCCCTGTGACCCAAAGAGCTCCTGGGCAGCCTGGTCACACTGTCCTGGGGCACGGCCTGCCTGCTGGGCACAGGGCTGAGCAAGGCTTTGCCTTTCCCGGGGCTCTTGAGGGCACGGCTGGGGCCGGGGGCAGTCTGGGGCCGGGCTTTGGTGGCCCTGCCCCTCTCGCTCTGCACCGTCTGCAGCTGCAGCCACTCCAGCTGCAGCAGGCGCTCCATGAACTTCTCCAGGGATCCCGTGGGCCTGGGGCGGAAATCGCTTTTCCCTTCCACGTGGACAAAGGTGGCCAGCTGCTTCAAGTCCCAAGAATTGAAAGGGGGTGGGAGGAAGTCGGGGTAGTAATATTCAGATTCTTTAAATCCCATTTCGGGGATGTGCTCCAAGCAAACTGGGTCAATTTCTTCAGCTCTGAGGATGAGTTCTGGTGGAGTGCAGGGAGAGGGGGGAATGGGAATCCTTTCTGAGTCAGAGAGGTCACTGGCACTATCATCTTCAGCATCTTCTTTAATAATTTGTACCGACTCAAAATCAAGAAACATTTGACTTACAGATGCTTCTTGCCATTTTGAAGAGCCTGGACTGGCTTCAGCCATGTATTCTTCGTGATTCCTCCCCAACTGTTCTTTTTTACTGCAATAAAAATGCTGCACTGAGACATCCTTAGCCCTACAGAAGTTTTCTTGTGTGCTGCCCTTTGTGCCAGCGGGGATCCTGTGCAGGAAGGATTCATTTTGCCTTCTTTCTGGGGGACTCCTGTGTAGGAGGGATTCGTTTTGCCTTCTTTCTGGGGGACTCCTGTGCAGGAAGGATTGATTTTGCCTTCTTTCTGGGGGACTCCTGTGTAGGAGGGATTCGTTTTGCCTTCTTTCTGGAGGACTCCTCTTTGGTCCTTGTGCACTGTGCAGTGAGCTGCAAACACTCGGGATCCTAAAGGAAAAGGAAGTTAATGTACTGTTAGAATGGTCAGTGCCTTTGAACAGCAGCTTACAAAGGTCTTGCCACCCCTTCAAGGATGGGGATCTCCATGACTGAAGCTAAAACTGGCATGGAAACTTGGTAATGAGGCAAAATCAATAACTGCTGGTAGAGGTAAGACTGCCTACTACTGATTTGTTGTTGCCTGAGAACTCACTAAAGCAGTATAGCAAGTTTCCACTTTGATAACTTAAAATTTGTTGTTCTCATAAATGCTGAACTCTGAGCCCGTGAAGTCAAAAGCAAAACACAGCTGCTGCAGTTTCATCACAAGCATTTTGTCAACCAGTTTGAAATTACTACAAATTAAGCAGATAATCTTTCATAAAATTACCTTTTTGACTGATTATTGCCATCCAGCTGGTTCCTTCCCTTCTTATAAACATTTGGTTGGTAACCATCTTGAGTGTCATGGGAAATCTGGAGGGATATGAAAGTTTGAGATGTTATTAAGAAGCTGACTTATAGTAGTTACCCTTTGTATGTTAGGAAAGGGGATTATTTACCTTTTCAATGGCACTTGATACATTTTTGCCTAATCTTCCAGGAGGAGATTTCACATAAGAAATTGGTTTATATAGTCCTTTGGTGTTTGGATGGCTTTTTCCATTACTGTAACCACAAAGGATTAAACAAAATATCAGATATAAATAGCAGAATATATGAGTGTCAGAATGGAAGTACAATAAAAACTTAAGGAGTACAACTGAGTTGAAAAAAGTGCTGATTGTAGTCATTCTTAAAGTTCATTAGGACTATGCCACTATGGCCACTTTTTACTTTTTATACTACAAATGCACTGCTGTATTTTTAATATCATTAATACAAAAGTGAATAATTCTATCAGATGATATAATAATAGAATGTAGCCCTTATATAGAATCCTCTGTCAGAGGATCCTAAAGCTTCTTCGGACATAATAAATATTACAGATATTTAACTACTGATTTTTATAGCACCTGGTAGGTGCTCCAATTGCAATTTACCAAAATTAATTATAAAGTACAATATGAAGGTCACATATGAAGCCAAATCTTGCTTGTCTTTCCCATTTGCATATTCTCAACAAAACTTAAAGGATTATTCCTTTGAAGATAAGGAGTGGAAGTGAACAGGGAGCATAAGGTCTCTTCTGGTATTAATACAAACTATTTCACAATGAAGGCATAAAAAAATCCCTATTTCACAATATAAGAGGGTTGTGAAAATATTATTAAGAGAAAAAGCTCATATGAAAGCAAGAGGAATGGCACTGCTGATCTGGGCAGCTTAGAACTAAAACTTAATTAAACCAGCTACATTTCTGTGTAAGCACACAGAATAAATAAATCAGCATATTCTGCAGAATAAGAACAGTGTTTGCTCTACAGAAAAAAAATATAACTGATTTCCAAATTGAAAGCTTTAAAATACTATTTCAGAACAGGAATATTCAAACTGTGCCTTCCTGTCTAATCTAGCATTACTGCAGTTCAGTTTATTTGCCAGCCTGTACATCTTGTTCTCAGTTTCTGTGTCAGTATAGTCAGATTTTGATTTTAACAACACATGACTTTACAAATTCAAAAGCTTATAAAAGAATGAAGCTAAGTCCTGTGCCTCTAGCATTGCTGCAGTCACCTCTGTGACCTTGTGACCTGCACGATCATCCTGCACAATCATTTCTGTCGCTGGGATCAGGGGAGAGGAAGGCAGTGGGAACAAGACAACCAGGCACTTATTAACTAAGCCCAGCGTGTTGACACTCCAGTAACTATAAAAAGCGAAATTAATTTCCTTACTTTACCATTCCTTTGTAGTTTTCATTGGTGTGGTTGTGGCTTTCCTTCTGCTGTGTCTCTCTGTGCAGTAATAAGGGATATTCCTGAATGCCTGGTCCCATTATTCCTCTTTCCTAAGAGAATCTGCACTTCTACTGTGACATAATCTTCAAACGGCTCCAGTCTTTTGGCTTTGCAAGACACGATATATCCAATGCAGACATCGCCACGTCCTGGAGATGCTGGTGACAAACAAAATCCTCCCGATGTGATTCTATTTTTAAAGCAGGAAGATAAACATAATCAGCTACCAAACTGCACTGGAAAACAGTCCCCTCCCCCAGCACTCGCTTAGAGGGAAGCAGCATCTTCAATTTACTATTCCCAATTAAGGAAATACCTGAGGGTACGGTGTGCTCGCAGAGCTGCCGTGCAGGGTCAGGCGCTCATCCCCATCCCCGGCTCGGCCTGCGCACACCCCGGCGCTGCCCGGGGCTGGGCGTCACAGCCCAGCGGGGCGGGTGTTCCTGCTCCCAGTTTATGGAGAGCAGATCATCACCCCCCTGCGGGCTCAGCTGTCCTTTTTGTGTCGCAAAATGCGCTCTTCCCATATGCATACATGCAAATCTTGCATCCAAGACTTAATTTTTTTTTTCCTTTTCCAAAACAAGTGTCTCATCAGCTCCTACTAAAAATACTCAGAGCAGGATCCATTGCTTGCTTTTATTCCAGAGGAAATGCATTCCCGTACCAGGGAACCGCACGGTTCCAAGGGTCCACAATGGACTGTAAATGTGACAGGTGACAAACAGCTCTCCTGACCCACCTTTACTTCTACTGCAGTGCTGTTTATACATTTACAGTCACATTGCACTTGATCCCGTCCTATCCCTCAAACGCCTCCCCGCATCCTGTCAGCGGAGCCGAGCCCCGGAGCCCCGGAGCGCCGCAGTCCCGCAGCCGGACGGGGCAGGGCAGCGCCCGGGATGGTGGCAGGCTGTATCCTCGGCTACGGCAGGCAGTGCCCGCGGTGGATGGCAGCAGTGCCACACTGTGCCCGCAGCGATGGCAGCAGTGCCCGCAGCGCCCGCCGAGCCGGGCCGGGCCCGCTCCGCTCCCTCCCGCCGCTGTCACCGCGCTCCCAAGGGCCGCTCCTTCGCTCGGGGGCCGCCCCGCATTCCCCGGCGATCCTCGCCCCGGCCCGGTACCTGCCCGTGCTCCGGCTCCGCGGCCCGCAGCAGCCGTAGCACCGCCCGAGCGCCGAGCGCGGGGGCCGGGCCGGGCGGGGCTGGGGCAGGGCCCCGCGCTTGCGCCGCGGGCGCGGAGCGGAGCGGCCGCGGTGTCGGCCGGGCCCCGGGGCCGCCGCTGCGCTCGGGCTGCCGCGGGGCCGCGCCGCCCATGGGCGCTGTGGCGGCCCCGAGCGCGGATCCGGCCCCCGCCAGCCACGACACCGAGCCCGGCGCCGCGGCCGACAGCCCGAGCCCGCCTTCCAGCCTCTGCAGCAGCCCCGGCTCCCTCCCGCCCGACAGCCTCCAAGGCTTCCCCGGCCTCGACTCGCCCAGCATCCAGTGTGACAGCCTGGAGTGTCCCCCCTGCTCGTGCTCCTGCTGCCGCCGGGGCGCGGGCTCGGCCGCAGCCAGCGAGGACAGCCTGCAGGCCCCTCTCGCCCGGGGCTCCGGCGCACGGTGCTTGGGCGCGCACAGCGCTTCCAGCGACTTCTCCGACAGCCTGGAGTCCTTCATCCAGCACGACAGCCTCCAGTCGCTCCCCAGCCTGGGTGTGAGCTCCTCCAGTATCAGCGGTGATAGCCTTGAATCGCTTTCCAGCCTGAGCCTGGGTGCCACCAGCCAGCACAGCGATCTCGAGTTCATCGGGCAGTGAGTCTGCCTTCAGCTTCCCGCACAGCGCCTTACAGCTCTGCCAGCTGCCGTGCGAGCTGCCACACTTCTGCCTTTCCTTCGAAGGTGACATTGCTCCAGGTGATCCTTGCTGCATCCAGTGCAGTAACCTCAGACCTTACTGTGGCTGCCATTCCCAAATCAAGTGCTTCAGAGGGTCAGTGTTCATTGTTACCTGCAGTGTTAACGCTGATTTTCTGTCACCAGTTAAGAATGGAAGTGCGTGGTCCTCAGAGGAATCCCAGCTACCTCTCAGATCTCTATGAGAACATGTTAAGGGCTGAAGGAACAGTGGCACGAAGGCAGCAGCAGCCCCCAGCAGTCCATACAGGTAGCAGCAAGACATTTTGGAGCAGTGCCCCAGCCAAGGAGAGCGTCCAGCCAAATAATCATGCAAGCAGCACCTACTCCAGCTGTGACCCAGCCCTGCAGCCCATCATGCGTCGCCGAGCGAGGTCCCTGCCGACATCACTCGAGAGGAGGAAGAGAGAAGCAGTGCAGTGTCAGGCCGGCTGCCGGGGCCGCATGAACCGGGTCAGGTTTGCTGATGCTCTGGGCTTGGAGCTCACTGAAGTAAAAGTCTTCCAAACTGAGGAGGATCCATCCATCCCTTTGCATGTCCTTTCCAGGCTCTCCATAAACTCAGACCTCTGGTACAGCAGCTTGAACTTGGAGTTTACTATGCAATGCTTGGTCCCTGACTTCCAGCAGCCTGCAGACTGTCCGGATTTCTCATCCCGACTCCAGGAGCAGCAGGTGTGTCTGGAACGGGTGACCAGCTCATATCTGGGTCTCAGTGGCACCATCCATGTTCAGAATGTTGCTTTTGAGAAGCAGGTGTCCGTGCGCTACACCTTCAACCAGTGGGAAAGCATCCACGAGGTGTGTGCTCGTTGGAATTGCAGCATCCCAGACAAAAACAGGCAGGATCAGGTTGATGTGTTCACTTTCTTTCTTCCTGTGCCTCCTTTCCTCCTTCAGCTGAGCACTCTCGTCCAGTTTGCAGCAAGGTACCAAGTCAACGGCCAGGAGTACTGGGATAACAACAGAGGCAAGAACTACACCCTCTGCTGCCGGATTCACCCCCTGAAGCTGCCGAGGGAGTGTGAGGAGAGCTGGATCCACTTCATCTGAACAGAGGCAGTGGCGCTGAGCAGCGTGCCTGTGGTCCCACTGGCACTCTGTCCCTTGCCATGGCGCTCTGCTCCTGTGGCAACAGTCTTCTTTTTGAAACCTGGCCAGGTGTCCCAGGGCTGGGAGGCAGCCAGTGGCCTGTACAAACTGCACTAAACCTCTGGGAAAGTTAAAAGGGCCAGAATCTGTAGTGAGATACCATCATAGAAAAGCCATGTGGGTTTTTTGAGTGCATGAGTCATTGCAGAATGGTTCCCAGGAATGCTGTGAGGCTACCAGAGAGCAAAACATTTCTTGTTGCTAGTGATACTCTTGGTTGCATAGAATGTTTCTAACTGATCTCTCTTACCATTTTCTACTGTTTGTTTTCTTATGTGGACAGTGTGGCTTCACTTGTTTTGTTTCTAATTTTGTTTATATTACTTCACCAAGTCAGGGCACTATTCCATTTATGCATAATTTGGATGACAGACACTGTGGGGAGTACTTGTATTTATATACATATGTTATTAAGGCTGTAACCATGTTAAATATTTCCATTAATATCTGAGCTGGAAATTTAATCCTACTATGAGGAAAACATACATGAAAATGTGCCATCAGCACCTCTGTTTCCCTTGGGAAAAAAAACAAAAGGTGCCTTTTCCTATCTCCTCCTTGCAGCAAGAGTGATTGTTACCAAAGTGTGTGTAAGGCAGATCTGCTTGGGGAAATTCTCACCTTTGTCAAGTGATGCCCAAGTAGGTTTTTCTCAAGGTGGTGGTACAGGAATAGTCTTTCTGGTGCACCTGCTTTTAGTAAGGGAAATGAGACCAATATTGGACGTGTGGTTGTAAATGCAGTTGAAGGTCTCAACGCACTGGATGAATGCTCATGATTTTATCACTGTTACTGGTAAAATTATAGATCAAGAAATGGATAGGATATAAAAAAAATATGTAAGGAAAAGAAATAGTAGAGGGAGCAGGGTACAGAAGTTTGGAATAGCATTCCAGAACCCTGCATCACAGTTGGTCCCAGTGTTCCAGAACTACTGCAGAAGTAGCTTTGACTTCTTTATTTAACTGCTTGCCATTGCAAAACAGTTGAACTCCCAAGACTGCAGCCTTGCAACACAAGCAGGAACTTGAAAGCACTTAATTACACAGACTGATAAACAGAATCCCTTCTGCTGCAGGGAGAGCACAGGAACACAAGACCATCTTCCCGTGCTTCTTGCTTTATTATTTTTGTTCTGTGGTTTTAGTGTGTTTTAAGATTTGCAACAGGCTTAAATTTATGAAGTAAAGGCTTGTCCATAATTGTTCCCATACATAATCATTACTGCATGGAAAGTTTAGCTTTATATGTGTTACGTAGACTTTTAGAGCTGGCTGGATGGACATATTAGAAGAGCTGTGTTTTAGGACTATGCTTGAATATCAGGCCACTTACTTGGGCATCTTATTTTGGATTGGTGCTTATTTATCAAAATCACAAGTTGTTTGTAAAATCACAGTTGTAAGCAACCCATGGCCCGTTATATATTAGTCTGAAAAGTCCACTGAGTAATTCTGGAAGTGCAGAAACCTCAAGAAAATTAATTTGTCCGGCAACTCAATGGTGCTTCTTTGTTGTGATACCCATTTAGCAAAGCTGGGATTTCAAGTGAGGAAACTGCCTCATTCCATTGGTCTTTGACTTTCAGAAGAACCAAAGTCAGCAATGAGGACTCTGTGAGCTGCTGAGCACCTTTTGCAGAGTACTCAAAAAGCTCAGTCCTATCTGAACATGCACACACATGCACAGAAGTACTTGTGCTGAATAAAAGGCACTACTTTCAAGCATTGTTTCCCCTTTTTTTCCCTCTCACATTACTGTTGTTTTTCCACCAGCAAACACAGCACACTATAAAAACCTCTCTCTTACCCGACACCCGTTCACAGTGGGTGTTGCTGGAGCTCAGAGCAATACTTGCTTTCGTGCCAGAAGGATGTTGCTGTCTTCTGGGACAGACTGTTATGTGCTAGCAAATGTCAGAGCTGAGTGTTCCCTTGGCCAGGTCAGATTTTGTAAAGCTGAGGCTGTCACAAGAAAGGTTCATGCCAGATGTAGCACAATGTGAGAGGGGTGAAGAAATAAATGTCTCAGCAGTCTCAGTTGGGCTTCTCTTGTCTTCCTTCCACAACCTCTCAGGGTTTTGGCCTGTGCAAGGTCTTGAATACTAAATCCTGAAGCATTATTCCAAGTTTCCTTTTGCTCTCTGTGCTGGTTTGCACTGCTGGAGAAGGGCTGACAGTGCAGTTTGGGCACTGCTGGCTCAGTGGAGCAGTGGAGCTGAGAGCCATCTCCGGGTTAAGCTGCTAAACCTTCACACCACTACTGACACCTGTCCCAGCAGAGCTGATATTTGCACTTAGGTTTTATTGGCACACTCAGTAATGAACATCAAATGGCTTCTGGTTGACAAAAATGGGATTAAGCCATTTAGTGCTAATATGTACCTGTCATGAAGGTAAATTTACACCACATTTGTATCTTCTCAGGACAACTTGACTACTTGCACTGTGTTCAAATTGAGCGCTTCCCTTATAATGAGGATTTTGTAAAAGTGAATTCTTCACAAGGATTATCACCATATAAAGCACTTTTAAAAACATGTATTTGTTATTGTCATACAGTAAATGAATGTCTAGTAGTCCACAGTTTCAAGGTTCTTTCAAGCATGTTTTTTAAAGAAATATGAAATCCATGTAAATAAAAAGGGGTTGTACACTTCACAGTATATCAATGAAGCACAATGAAGC